AAAAAAAAAAAAAAAAGAAGAAGAAGAAGAAACTAAACTTTTTTAAGGAGTGTAAAGAAAAGGAAAGGTACCCTTAGAGGAAAACTCTAATCTGGTGTAGATCTTTCTGTATGTTTACCCATATAAACCTACACACACGCACGTACACACACATGCCCAGTTTTAAATGGGCACTGTCTACACGTACTGTCTTAGTCTGTTCAGGCTGCCGTCACACATTGCTACAGACTGGCTGGCTTAAACAGCAGTTCTGGAGGCCAGAAGTCCAAGGTCAAGGCAGCAGCAGATTCGGTGTTTGGTGACAGTCTTCTTCCTGTGTCCCCTGTGGTAGAGGGGGAGAGGGGGCTCTCTGGGGTCTCTGTTCTAAGGGCACTAATCTCACTCATGGGGCCTCCAGCCTTGTGACCTAATCACCTCCCCAAGGCTCCACCTCCCAATACCATCACATTGCGGGGTCGGATTTAACAGAAGAATTTGGGGGGTGGGGGGTACCCACACAACATTTAGTCTATACCATATACCATTTGGCATTTTTATTTTTTTTCTCCCTATTTTCCCTTTCATTTAGTGAGTTGTAGACCTCTCTGTTCCAGCACTTGTAAATCTCATATTTGATGGCTGTGCAGTTGATGGCAATTACTTACACCAGGATTTCTTTAACAAGCTCTTACTGGTGAACATTTAGCCTACTGCCAGCTTAACTCTTGTTAACAAAACGTATGCGGGAGAGTTTTCAGGGCAACGTAGTTTATGACGTTGAGACCTTGGAAGGGAGCCGAACGTTCATCTCTAACGGATGGTTAAAGTACGAATCATGGTGTGCCCAGGGGAGTACCCTGGAGCCGTTTGAAGGAGAAACACTGACCTGGAGGAATGTTTGCAACATACTTTAACTTGAAAAAGGAAGATACAGGGGCGCCTGGGTGGCTAGTCAGTTAAGCGTCCAACTTCGGATTGGGTTACAGTCTCACGGTTTGTGAGTTCATGCTCTGAGTTGGGCTCTGTGCTGACAGCTCAGAGCCTGGAGCCTCCTTGGGATTGTGTGTCTTCTTCTCTCTCTGCCCCCAGCTTGTGCTCTCTTTCTCTCTGTCTCTCTCTCTTAAAAGTAAATAAACATTTAAGAGAAAAGAGGGGCACCTCAGTGGCTCAGTCACTTAAGCGACTTTGGCATGGGTTATGATCTCACGGTTTGTGAGTTCGAGCCCCACGTCAGGCTCCGTGCTGACAGCTCGGGAGTGTGGGGACAGGAGCTGACAGCCATGTTTATCTTCTCCAGTCTCCAGCTTGTACCTCCTATCAGATGACTCCGCAGGGGCACAGGCCGCCCCCCAAGATCAACCCGGATAACTACGGGATGGATCTGAATAGCGATGATTCCACCGATGACGAGGCCCATCCCCGGAAGCCCATCCCCACTTGGGCCAGAGGTAAGCAGGGCCCGGAATTCCCCGGGAGACCTGGCTCCTCACTTGC